AGCACTCAGCATTCGATCCACAGGAGCCGTTTGAGCCGTGTCGGCGGCCGGTTCGAGCGACTGCCGACCGGTTTTCGGGGAGTCGCTCCACCAGGACATCCGGTCGCGCCGCGAGCTGAGGACGCTCGCTCTCGAGACCAGCCGAGCCGAGCGGCTGCAGCGGCGCTCCCTGCTGGGATGTGCAGCTCGCTGCATGTGCTCAGCTAGGTTCAGTGTATTGAACCTCGCTCGCCCATCATCAATCCGAGCAGTGTAGCCCGTGGCCGCTGCGATGTCGGAGGGATGTTTATCTCTCGGTCGGTGACGCACCGCAGCGCCGCAGTGCCACCGAGCTGTCGCCTGGCGTCCTGTCTGGTCGGAGGGCGGTCGGTCGGGTCTGCGTGCGGCCGACGACCGTCCGTGACCCTCCCCCTCTCTGCCCCCTCCCGCTGCTCAGCGTCCGGACGAAAACCGGAACACGTGCGACCGCGACGGGGATCGGTAGACCGCCGTAGAGAGGCGCACTGCCACCATGCGTCTCCGAATTGAGTTGCTATGGCTGCTTTTGGACGTGGGAGCCGTATGAGGGCCGGTGTGCAACCGACGCCACCTTGCACGCTGACGGCACACCCCAAACAATTGGTGATAAATCAATCTCGCACGTCTTTTTCGCGCGCCTGTCTGATGCTGTTAGCGGTAGCTCCTCCCATGAGTCACGAGACCTGATGGCTGCGACCTTGAACAACCGGCGCTTTCTGCCTCCGTGCCGGCACGAAATCTAGTTTTCCTGGTCTGTGGCCGACCGCTGACGAGCTTCTCCTCTGTTACAGGTGCTGACGCCTGGCGGCCGACGCTGCGAACTACGCCCCGTGACCACGGCCGGCCAGCCGCGGCGCCCGCTGACGACGACCATATTTTAGTCATATTTGATACACGTGAACTCTTTCAAGTTGATTGTGATGTGTGATGCCCTCGGGAGGCCGGGACAGCTGTGGGCGAAACTTCCAGCCGCCGCGACCGCCGGTGCTGCCGTCCGCGTGTGCGTCCGACGTTTGAACTATATCACTTGTACTGCGCTCAAGCGCGTCGCGCCGCGACGGTTTTCAGAGAGCGAGATATCTGTTTTGTAATCGAGCGAGAGAGACTTTACGCTATGTGTTACGCCCGATTGAATCGTGTTTATGCCTGTGTATGTGTTTTGACCGTGTGTGCCCGAGGGCGGGTGGCCGGACGGACTGGCGCCGCCCGCCCCCGCTGCCATATTATGTGACACCGTGTGCTCGAGAGCCGGGCGGGCGGTGAGCCGCGGCTGCGGCCCGCTCCGCCCGGCTACAAGACTGTGATCCGCCGCTCTCCGCGCGCAATATGTGTCTGCTCAATGGGTGCGCGCGAGCCGCCCGCGACACTGCCGGCCACGGGTGGCGAACGGTCCGTGTTCCGTGAACTCTTTGTGTCCGCGGTCCTGTGTCCGTGATCCGTGGCCTGGTGTCCTCGGTCCAAGGTGCTACCCCGGGACACCGCGGAAGGCCGCGCGGATTTTGCACACGTTATTTTTGTACGCGGCCGTGGTGGCCGTACTGTTGCATGACCCGAAACATAGCCCTGTAGCGAGGATCGGCAATATACCGAGTGCCGCTGACTGACTGACTCGGGAGTTTGTCAATCGTGACGCCAGTGGTGGAAGCCGTGACGTCACAGACGGTACGCAGGTGACTGGGTCGCTCGGAAAGAACCCGTTCTTTTCTTCTCCGTAAATGAATCGGTGGCTCCTGGAGGCCACTGATGGGGCCGACAGACTAGCGGTGACGTCACAGGGTGCTACGGTTGCGCCACGATGCGGATTCTATTAGACTTTGTGAAGTACCTGACTGAGGCCCGTGTGATTCCGTCAGGGCCTCCACAATCAGCCGCGGGCGCAGAACTCTCGAGTGGATGAGTGACAACCACCGCGTCAGGCTGAGTGTGCGGGTGACGTCACTGGCCGCGTCATCTCGGACGAGTGACGTCACATAGCGAGAGCGACTAGCAGGAATATATTACGGGAGGCCCCGCCGGGTTTGAGGAATTTCTGATGGGAGGCGCTGGAGGGTGGGCCAGAGTCAGACTTCACGGTCACCAGATAGTCGAGCTCAGGTTGGATGGCGGCTGACGTAGGCATCGGGATCAGGATGGCCCTTAGGGGGAAGGGAGGAAAGGTTGTCGAATCCCAGCTGGCTCAGGGGACTGTAAGGGAGAGCTGTTGCCTGTTATAAGTGGATAAATGGAGTGTTCATGGACATTGGACAGGGTACTGCCAGATTCAGACAGAACATTGGCACATCGCTGCCGCCTTCATTTTCACTCTGATGCAGCAGGATAGCGACAATGGATCACCGTTCGATGCGATATGCAACTGCTCGAAGGGACCAGATAAGACCCGCGATGGATATCATGTCAGCGGAGCGTGAGAACCGTTCACCAGGTTTTGATTGGATTAAATGATGAAATCAGACGATTCGATAAGATAACTAGTTCGTAGGGTATGACGCCGACATAGGCACCCGGCAAGCGGTATCTCATCGTTCGATCACTCTTCACGAGGCTGAACCGAACCAAAGTCGCTAAAATTCAGCCATCCAAGTTCTAACCATCAATTACCTGCGACGTCGTCTAAAATCAGCGACATGCAATGGAGCCGTCTCGGACCCCCTCATAGCTCTCAGACGGCAACAGACGCGCCGTGGGCGGACTGGGTCATCGGGCGGCGCGTGGTCCCCAACCGATACGGTGCAGCATTGCACAACGTACCCCGTGAGACGTGAGTCACCCACGGGCACGCGCTGTGTCGCGCGGCAGACGGGGGCGGCAGAGATCTAACGGCGCGGCCCGCCCACCGCACGCACCGTACCGACGCAATCTGAGCGCTGCGTGCGTCGGTCGTGTGCGTGTGGGCGGCAGGGCCTGCGTCTGTGCCTCGTCTGGGGACCAGATCGTCGGTCTGCAGTGAACCTTGACGTGATAACTGGGTCAGCGGCCGGGCCAACTGGCGACGAGCGGAGACAATCGGACAAACTACCCAACAGAGCCGTCCGCGCGCCGGGGCGGCGACAGGAGGCGCACCAAACATACGGCGGACGGGCCGGAGAGAGTTTTGCCTCAATTCCACGGCTGCCCGCTGCGGACACATGTTGCCAGGACGCTCAAATGGAGAGATATACTGGCAGATTAGAGGAACATGGCCACGGAAAACACCCGGTAAACGGGGCAGCCAACACATGTTACCGAATGTCGCTCGGCTGAGTGGCTATTTTTGCAACGGATCGGTGCTTCTGATCGAGCCATCAGACACCGAAGAGCCATATTGTGGCGGTTTTCACCGTGGTCATGTGGATTTGGGACAACTGAACAGAAGGGCGACACGGTACGACGAGCACCTCGCTAGTGAGCATGGACGGACGGCACCGGTTAGTTCAGTTGACCGTTATAGCGAGTAGTGTTTGTCAACTTTCAAACAACCTGCGGTTAACGTTCTGGTTATTTGACAAAATAAAGTAATGCGAGACAATACGATACAGGAGTGTAATGCGAGTATATAAGAAACATGAGTGAACGCTAGTTCGATGAGGAACGTGACCCAATCACCGCGGGAGTCGATCAAATTACTGTCCCACATTTGGTCATGTGTTCCCAGGGACGTTTAACTGGATCTATGCAGACGTTTTCTTTGAGCAGGTACTCACATTGATTGAGTAGGCCAATATTCAGGTATTTCCGGCGTTCATCTGCTCTCCCATACCGGCACAGGGATCCAATGACCGTCACCGGCCGGAGGACAGGTCGCTCAGGCCCGAGGACAGGTCGCTCAGCCAACTCCGACCCGGGCTGAGGATAGAGGAACGGGAGGACACGGGCTCGTTAGTGGGAACTGATGAGGGCGTTACCACGAGCCTCGTGCATCTGGGGAGCATCTAAGGAACCGCGAAGGCTATGATCTACCAAGGTTATGGTACACTTATTAGAAGCAGCCTCTGAGGTGTTTCAATATATCAAAGTTCCAAGCGCGTTGCGTGCACGTTTGCAATTTGCATCGATGCTCTGGTGCGACAATGATGACTGTGCCATGGAAAGAGCATCGCAAAGGGGCAGTGTGACGGTAATCACAACACCAATTCATCCAATAGTGCCTTATGCGTCAACACCTCAGTTAGGTTTCATTCTGTACTACAGCAATACACAAAGACAAACTATTTACACCAGTACTACGTTTGAGACGGTTGTATGGCGAGATACCACCCCGCGCAAACGCTGTTTGGTTCATGTCCAAACTATTAACATCCAATCCCATCACATTGACCTAAAGCATACGTGCTTTGAGACTGCCTTCATGCATAACTCGAGCACAAAACATACCAGAGTGCAAAGAATACACAGAAAAACATGTGAATAGCACAGACCGCTGGCATAAAAACCGCCTAAGTTGCCAATCATGCATGCGTTCCAAGGTCGTGTTCTAGTTTTCCGTTCAGTTCCGATCTCGGCGCTGTAAACTGTCCCAGAACCGGTGCCGAGTGAGAATATTCCCGTCATCCCGACACAAGGTCTCCTGTTTTTCGCCCTAAGAACCCAGTAAGCACGACTGCAGCGCCGCCAAGCGTGAGCGACTGAAACCAGCCGAATCAGACGGACGGCAGCCCATGAAACAGCCAGGAGCGGGATGGAATGAGGAAAACATTGGCAAATGCAGCACCCGGTGAAAAAGAAACGGTCTCAGGTAACGGCAGCAACACCAAGGTGAGGGAAATACAGCACAGAAGCACACGAGCGGCAAGACGCCGGACAGGGAATGAACAGGTCTGCGTCGCTTTAAAGACGTGATATGAGATTATTCTTTTACCTCAAGTGAGTCCAATTCAGATAAAGACTAGCTGACATGAGTAAAACGAAATCTAAGCCTCAATATGCGCGTGAATAGGCGTTAAATGACAGCATTTCATCAGCAGTGGGCAAACAAAAATCACAAAGTAAAATTGAAATCGGAGTGCTGCAAACATCGATATGTATTTCTAGTAGAATAACAAGACGTACAAACACTAACTTCTTAAACAACCATTAATATTGATATATTAGTAACAGTGCACTCATATAAAATAACCAGCCAAAATACGATATTCAGTAAAAACTGTGCAAGCCGCATACAAAAACGACTTACACTCTACAGCCTAGGTGCTGGCAACAAGATCATCACAACCGGTATTGTGCTAAGTACATATTATGGAGAGCTGCTCAGGAAACAGACTTTAGAAGGTAAGCATGGAAAGAGAACGATACCTAACAGCGGCTGGACAGCAATACCGTGCCAAGAACGCCTAGCGGTGCAGGTGCTCAGGTATTGGCGCTCTTATTGGCAATGTTATCGACATACAGCGCTTTTACAAAAAAAAAAATAATAATAATAATGAATATCGCTAGATCCCATGGTGTTACACAAAGCGTCGAACAATACAAAACATGAACTAAGTACTGCATATATCAACAAGTTTTGTTCGACGTACGGTACAGCACACACAATAAGCAACCCTTCACCACCGAATGTTTCCCCGGGAATGTAACCGTTCACTCAATGGCCAAATTTGTCCTGATATCGAGATGACAAGGCACTAACAAACGTAGGGCGCACACAGGACGACAAAAGGGTCGACCTGGTGTGCTACCGGCCACAAAATACAGATCACTACACCGACGTCAACGTACAAATGGAAGACCAACAGGTTATGGAAGCAAAGCTGCCTCTGGTCCCACTCAGCTACAGTGGCGCCGCCTACAGATCCGGACCGTCATATAAAGTACGAGCAGCCCAATAATCGGCGCCCAAGAACCGTATCAACACCCCAGAAGTAAGCTGCCAGTGTTCTTTTTCAGTGATACGCTAAGTGCATTTAAAGCCCTTCGATACCAAATAAGGTAAGGCACCTTACATCTTGCTCTGCACATCGAGTGCACTCGTCCGTCAGTATGTGTGTATGTGTAAGCCCTGCGCCAGTATGTCCTTCAGTCTGTCTATTGTCCGTCAGAATGCCTGAAAGTCCGCTCGTCTGTCAGTATGACGTATGCCTGTAGGCTTCCCCCTCAGGATGTGGGTATATCTGTCCGTCTGTCTCTCCTGCCGTCATCACAGCTCCTTGCCGGCCAGCTGTCGCAGCTGGCGCAGCACCGTCTCCTGCAGCTTCTTCCTATCTCTCTCGGCCTTCTTCAGCACGGAGAACATGTTCCTCTTGTCGGCCTCTCGCAGTTTCTCCACAATCACCGCCGCGCGCGCCGGACTGACGCGACCGTACCGACCGTCCCCGGTACCGTACTCCTGGAAATAGGTGGTCCAGTCCCACTCGAGGACCAAGTCCAGCAGCTGGCGCAGGTCGGCGAAACACATCTGCAGCGCGCCCTCCTCGAACCCGGCCACAGGCTCCGAGGCAGCAAACTCTGCGGACGGGAGGGGAGGTGTCAGAGGCGAGTTGAGAGGAAGGCTGTATATTGATCATAGTCGCAGGGCAGAAGGAGACGTTTGAGCTGACAACTTACAAAAAGGATAGGGTATTTCCACATTTAACAATGTCATAAGAACGACAGAGAAAATCATCCAATCTGACGACAGCCAATTGGCTCACGTATGCCACACGCCGCAGGATAATTATAGGCATCACTTTCAATAATTCAAACCAGCCTATGTAGAACGAAATAATACTTAAACACAGGATTTACAGAAAAGGTACCATCATCCGACTATTCATGAAAATTTGCAGGCAATGTGATATTATAATTTCACACTTTTAGATTCTATTCATCAAGGAGTACTCACCTTAGGCCTGTCACAATAGCCAGCATGAAAAAGAGCAGCAGGATCAGGCACCAGGATGTCACATAGTCGACGAGAAAACTGGGTTCTTGGTGGCAGGTGAATCGGTGGGAAGTCGACTCAAAGAGTTACTGGTCAACCATGCTTTCAATATTTCGCTAACAGCTGGAGCCATGGCTTGGACCGGTGAAAAGTATGCCAAAAGACATTGTGACAGCAGCTGTACGACCAAACGAGAAACTGGATCCCTTACATGAATGAGGATGATACAGACGCCTGAGAAGCTTGTGATAAGGAGTAGGGACGTTCCAGTCTATGATTCTAACATCCAGGGCAAACACAGTAGGAATCAACGCTAATTGACCTCTCACATAGTAGTAATAATTTATCTGCCAGACAACATGTAAGCATCTATCTCACATGAAGGGTAAAAACACTATTACACAACATACTTCTCTCGCAATGTGGCAATTACGATCGCCCCAATCAGCCAGAAAAAGTTAGTCAAGTAACTGCCGGACGGGCGCATCTTCCAACCACCAACCCACCATCACCCCTCCCCCACTCCTACTCACGCTCGCACTGTATGACGTCCAGGTTGAGCTGCTGCAGCGCGCCCAGGGAGAGCTGCTTCACCTCCTCCCCCAGCAGTACGGCCAGCAGACCCCGCGCGATGTGCTGGCACGCGCTCATACACGCCGTCTGAGCCACCTTGGCCGGCAGGTTGGTGAACGCCGTGAACGTGCTGAAATCAGACGGAGAGCTTGTTGTAACGAGACGGAGAACGCGTTAAAGGAGCTGTTACAGAGCGGGAGAACGTATTATGGAAGGACACATTTATAAGACATTGCCAGAAAGTTGATGCCAAAAGCACAACACACTGTTGCAGGTAAGTAAACAGCACATTCTACAAGAACCAGAAAAGTAAACTGGCTGGTTATCTCAGCCTAATAACCCAGCTCATACCACCGATGCTCCAGTGTTCTGTCAGCTACCAAGCTATTCATATTCATTCCCACCCCACACACCGTCCAACGACCAGCAGATCTACAGTCTACAGTCGGCCTTTCTCCCCCCCCCCCCCTTCCACAGACTCACCTGTTGAGGAAGTAGATGAGGTCCACCAGATAGGGCGACGCCGTGCCGTCCGACTCCGCCAGCAGCCAATCGTAGGCCGCCAGACTCAGGAACTCGTCAATCTTCGTCTGCAGCTGCATGTAGATCTGCTGCTCGGTCTCCGCGCGCACGTCTTTGAACATGGAGCGGCCCTGGAGGCGCGAGTGGACGCCGCCCTCCTGCTTCGGGTTGTAGCTGTGGGTGAGGAACGGATGGAGGGGGAGGGTCAGTGCGTGAAGACTGGGGAAGGTGAAGCCTGAGACTGCACGCATGAAGTGGACTAAAAGAAATGAGAGGTAGCATTGAAACTATGAAAACATGCATCCCCTGGAATAGTTAACCACGCATTGCCGAAATGTTAGTAGCAGACTTTGGTAGGTACTAAACGTATAATTCGAAATGAGCTGGCGAAATGAAAAGAACTGGCATACTCGGCAATATTACTCGGTTCAAATTTGCGGACTGATACAAAAAGAAAGGGTTCAAGACGGGACGACAAGCACAAGGCCCGCGCTATTGGCGCTCACCCGGTCAGCTCGGTGATGACGTCTTCCAGGTAGACGCTGGCCTGCTCCAGGTATATCGTGTTGATGGTCACCTGGATGAGCTGCAGCAGGCTCAGGCCGGGCCGGCGCACCAGGGTAGTCAGACATCCAGCCAGTGTGCGCGTAAGCAACACATTAGTCGAGCGGCGCAGCATGTCGTCCCGCTCGCTCTGACTCAGGTTCAGACCGTCGGAGAAGCGCAGGCACGAGTGGATGAACTCCTTCACCTGCGAGTACACCTTCGGCACCATCAGCGAGAAGGGGAAGCGGCGCGGCAGCGGCGCCTTCTCCAGCGCCTCGCTCGAGTAGGGGAACACCTGCAGGATCTGCTCGTACTCGCGCGTCGTGTCCACCTGCACCTGGTGGTAGTTGTCCTTGTCGAAGATGTCGCGGAAGACGGCCACCCAGCGCTGCATCAGCACCTCGCTGTAGTGGTCGCGCACCTCCAGCAGCAGGTCGTGCAGCGGCTGCACCGAGAAGCCATAGTTGCGCAGTGCGTGGCTAAACACCATCACCAGCTGTTTGAAGGTGAGCAGCGTGTTGGCGTCCGTGAGGCAGGCAGCGTGAGACTGCAGCGCCGTCGTCAGCTTGGCCAGAGCACTCGCCCACAGCTGGTCCAGCTCTGTGCGCGTCACTAGATCCGTGGTCGTGTTCAGGATGTGGTCCTCCACCACGAAGAAGCCGGCCACGCCGTGCAGGTAGTCATGCAGCGCAGTCAGCGTGTCGTGCATACCCGCCGGCGGCTGCAGCGCCAGGCCCGCCTGCTTCTGTCGCTGCTTCACGTAGTAGGCGCGGAACGTGTCCTTGGCACCCAGCGCGGTGAAGATGTGCTGACAGCGGTAGACAGGCGAGAAGTTGACCAGCTCCTGGGCCACCCGCTCGTCCTCATCGCCCTCGGTCTGGTACAGTGTCTCCGGCGCCAGCGGCTCCTCGCCGAGGAAGGCCAGCGTGTGCCGCTTGTTGGCGGCGCGCTCTTCTGCCGCCGGGTCGGTGCCATACTGCTCGTCCGCGTGCCGGATGGCCACCTCGCCAATACGCGGAGACTCGCGGCGCACCACCTCCAGGAAATCCTTCAGGTCGGACATGGCTGCCGCCTGGATGTTAGCGCGAGCTTTCGGCACAGATGCAGCGATCACCTGCGCGAACTTGTGGCCCGACACTTTCGGCAGCATCGTGCTCTCCAGGGTCTCCAGCGTCTTCAGCGCTGGGTAGAAGCGCTTCTCCGCCATCTGTTTCTTCAGTCGGGCGTGCGTCTCCAGCACGGGCAGGCAGGCCTTGAGCGCCTCGATGCCCTCGTGGATGTTGGACTGGACGCGGCGCGCCTTGCAAAGCGCGTCTCCGTGCCTGAGCAGCTGCCGGGAGGCGTCCGTCAGCTCCTGGTTGACGCCGACCACCTCGCGCTTCAGCTTGCTAGCCTCGGTGCGCACCTGCAGCAGCTCACGGATCGAGTCGATGAAGCCCTGGTAGTGGAAGTTGCACATGCGCTCGATGTTCTTGTCGTGCTCGCGCGTACGCTCGTCGAGCTCCTGCATGAACTGTTCCTGCTCCTCCTTGGTGTAAATGGTGCGGAACGTCGAGCCCCAGTAGTCGTCCATCGCCTCAATCTCCTGAATGAAGATGTCATGACGAGCCTTCGTCACCTCTTTGTCTTCCTTGAACTCGATCGTGCCATCCTCGCCAGTCTTGGGCTCATCAGTCATAGAGAGATCATCAGCCATCTTGTTTGTGTCAAAGAGATTCACTGTAGCAACACTGAATCCACAATATGAGTAGAACAGCCAATAAAAATTCTTACAGTGGAATGTTGCTATTATCACAAGATCAGTTTTGAGATTTTATGTTTACTTCATCTTCACTTAGTCATGTGAATGAAGCTATTTTCCTGAAACAAAGTAGAAAATGATGAATGCCATGGGCATAGGCGCGGGAGCCGGGGGGGCAGTGGGGGCAGCTTGCCCCCCCAACTCTGGGGCCGTGGGGGCGGTGCCCCCACAGTTTTGAGACGGAATACCACACTTTTTTTGCAAATGTTTTATTTTTTGTTGAAAAAGCCGAGGGGTGAAAAATAAGTGGCCTAAAACCGGTGAGAAAACTAGATTTGGGGGTACCCTAGGTTGATCTCTATTATGGTGTGCCCCCCCAGTCGGAAAGTTCCCGCGCCCCTGGCCATGGGTGAATAATTGAGATGATGTGATCATTAGAATATGCACACCATGTTACCATGACCTTTAAATATTATCATCAATGCATTTATGCATGGCTTATGTTTATATGGACCATGTAATAGCAACTGAATGCCTGAAGCACCTTAAATTACATCCATTTGATTTGGATGCTATTAGCTCCTGCCTCCAATCAAACAGTCTGGTGGCTATTACAAATGAGCACAGCAGAAGGTGTTTACCATGAAAATTGTAAAAATGATCTAATCATATCTCCTGATGAACTGCAGTCAGGCATGAATCGTATCCGTATCTTTGCATTTCCCTTTATCAGCCCAACAGACTAAATCAGTCATCTAAGTTATATGGCAAGGTAAATAATTCACAATGATAAGCAATGTGTACAATGTTTGCACTACCATTCACTGAAAATAAACATCAAAATTTGCAAATCATTGCAACAGTCAGAGCTGCACTAGCTTGGGAGCCACACTGCACACCAACCCACACCAAACAGACTGGAAAATGCTGCAAAACTTTGCAAAGCCTCAAATTTGGGCTAACTAGCCTGCTAATTAGGGAAAACATCACTACTTCACAAAACAAAATCATCAATATTCACTTAAGGTAGTGCTTACTGCAATTAAAAGGGCCAATTATTTGGTCCTGTAGCTCAGTGAATAGAGTGTTGGACCTTGTGTGGTCAGAGCACATGTCTTGCCTCCTAGTTGCAAAACCCTGGGGTCTGAGGAGTGATGGGCACTCATTGTCATTGCCATGACTTCAGGCACGTAGCTAGGATTTGGCCAAGGGAGGGGCGGAGGAATCCCGGGGGCCTCCTTTCTACAGGGGGCCTCCTCCCTAAAGGGGCCTCCTTTCTACAGAGGGTCTCATGCCTACACAATTACATATACAACATAATGCATTTACTTTTGTTCAGCTTTCATATGGCAAGCGCACTGGTATGTTTCTTTATTCTTACCGCTGCAGGCTGCAGCGGTAAGAAACATACGCATATCACAAGTCTCCGAGTGGCATGATAACGGGCAAAAAAAAAAAAAAACTCGGGCGCCGGCGGCGGCCGGACCGCAGCAGGAGGGGGAGGATCTGCGAGGAATGGGAGGATACTGGATGACGGTCAGAGTAACACTTGGTGTATTATCATATATCGTTCAAGCGCTTAACCGTATTCCGGGCGGGCTCTGAAAGACTCTGAATCGGGCGGGGGCCTTTTGTGGCCCCCGTCAGAACTCGAAAAGCACGAATCGTAGCGACAAACGGCAAGGGCGTTTGATAGTTCGTTGAACGACTTACAACTTTTGTAAACAACTTTTTTTTGGGTCAGGTCAATATTGAGGTCGCCAGAGGTCATAACAAATAACATGGTTTATAACGACCTACATAGATAGGTCAACTTCAAAATCTAACCTAGGAAAGTCACGCTGGGTACCAATCGACGCGTCATGACCAGGCGAACGGTTTGGTACACTAACAACTATTTAGCCCCATCATGTCGTGATTTATTGGCTAAAAACTGTTGATGACCTCACCTCACCTCAGATGATCCTTCCCGGTGCTCCTGTCAGTAAATGCCACCTGGGTGCTTACAGATCAGATAATCTGACGTAATTCAGAAAGAATTGGGTGGTTTTGACTCGTTTTCTCGAAGCAGGACACAGTTCATTACCTATATTTTCCAATAGGCTTGTCACGATTCTTACCTTACTGACGTCTGCAAGATTGAAACTATACGGTTATCAATTCTTTCTGTGTGAATTATGCCACGTTTACTTGCTGTAAGTAACACATGGTTTCGTTAGTAAATTTTCCTAGGTCCAGGTGGTTTGCTTCATTTACGCCGTAGATGAAACAAACAATCGATGGATAGGTATAGGTATATTAAGTTCCCGGTCAAATAAATTATTATGAGTTGTGCGAAGCATGGCTATGGGAATATCACCACGGTCTATTAAATGGTTTGGGTAATTGCATCCATCGTAAAAATACCAACACAGCCACAGGTATATATTACAGAAATGGGCTGCTGTGTTCATGCATTAACCCGCGCCCTGCCGGGGGGTGTTAAACACCCCCTGCAGTTTTCCGTGAATATCTAAAAAACGGCGACGCGGCACACTTTATTCTACATCATTTCTACACATGTTGTGAAAATTTCAGACCCTGGTCACTTAAGGTCAGGTCACCAGGTCAGGTCAAATGACCTCACCACATAAAAAGTTTTAATGTCTGCCAAAGGTACACGGAGTGACCAAACGCTTTGAAACTTTCAGAGATGCAAATGCACAAGAGCGACAAAATGCAAAAAATGTATGTCTTGGAATTTTGATATCGATGACATAAGGTCAGGTCAATTTTGCGACCTTAAATTGAAAGTCGCCTTTTTAGACGGAAGTCATTATAAACACTCTAAAACACTGAATTACTAGTATCTTTGACACATTGAACATGAAAATGGCACCCGTGACCCTTTCTATAACCCTGAGGTCATCTCAGGTCACGAATGGTATCTGACTGTTTTTCGCGAATAACTTTTGATAGAGGTATGCTAGAGCGATGAATACACCTTAGTTGTGTTTGGCTCGACGATACAGATGGACTGATATGGATCTTAGCCCTTATCGGTCAGGTCATGACCTTGACCTGAGGCCAAATTTTCAAGTTGACCTTTCAAGGTCAATTCATAGTTCATTCCACACGTCTGGACGAGAGGAACACGATGCTGGTAAAGGGAAGTTCGTGCAAATTTTGAGACGAAAGTTATCGCCGAAAACTGGTTTCCGAAAATATCGGCCATTTTGGCAGTTTTTGCGGCCACTGTAGGTAAAACCGTTGACGGGAAAACCGCTGACGGCACGCGGCATGATTTCTCTGAGCGCATTTATACAAATAATTTGTCTACATAGAATAGGGCCTTCTGTTTACAGAGGACCTCCTCCCCTGTCCCTTCCTACAGTGGGCGGCGACGCGGTTGGGAGTCTATTCTGTACAGTTTCCTGAGTTCTCAGTTTTCACTATAGTGAGAACTGATAACTCTCTATAGAGAGTAGCAGGGACCAGAAGCCAGAAGGTAATTTGCTCACAGTGGGCCTCCACTCTATGTACTTAATATACGACGCTGTCTTTGACTACCGGGGGCCTCCTGCCCACAGAGGGCCTCTTATCTACAGAGGGCTTCCTCTCTACAGATTGGGCTTCCTCTCTACAAGCTGGCCCGATTGGAGTCGTCCGTCGCCTGGGGCCGGGTACTGTCTGCTTTTTTGGCTCGGCGGGTTTCGGGCGGGGTCGACGCTTTCTGATACTTTGGTTTGGTCATGTGTTCTTTGTTTAACTTAATTGGAGAGGCGCCTTTGATTTAAGCTTTTTGCTTTTGCGCCAATCCTCTATTGTTTTGTTCGTTGTTCTTGTTTACATATGGAGAAATACAATGAACTGAACTGAACTGAATTGCCTCTTATCTACAGAGGGCCTCCTCTCTGCTGAGGGTGTCTCTCTCTCTCTCTCTCTCTCTCTCTCTCTCTCTCTCTCTCTCTCTCTCTCTCTCTCTCTCTCTCTCTCTCTCTCTCTCTCTCTCCAGAGGGCCTCCTTTACAGAGGGTATCCTCTCTACAGAGGGCCTCCTCTCTAGTCTCTACAGGGACCTCCTCTCTACAGAGGGCTTCCTATCTATGTAGGGCCTCCTCTCTTCAGAGTCTCGTCTCTACACAGGACCTCCTCTATACAGAGGACCTCATCTCTGCAAAGGGCCTCCTCTCTTCAGAGGGCCTTCACTCTACAGAGGGCCTCCTTCCCACAGAGGACCTCCTTTCTACTGAGGGAATCCTCCTCTACAGAGGGCCTCCTCTCTTCAGACGATCTCCTCTCTACAGAGGGCCTCCTCTCTTCAAAGGGCCTTCTGATTTCAGACGGTTTCTTCTTTACAGAGGGCCTGCTCTCTACAGAGGGCCTCCTTTTTTACAGAGGGCCTCCTTTTTACAGAGGGCCTCTTTTTTACAGAGGGCCTCCTTTTTGCAGAGGGCCTCCTCTCTACAGGGGGTCTCCTCTCTAAGGGGGCCTCCTCTCTACAGAGGGCCTCCTACCCACAGAGGGCCTCCTATCTACTGAGGAGTCAGAGGGGCCCTAGCGGTCAGACACAGACACTAGTGGTTATTCACAGGAGATGAGAAGGGCCCTAGCTGTCACTTGTCAGGCTGGTCAGAGGGCCCTGATTGTTCTGACGTCATTTTTTAGATTCCCGCGTGAATTTCGTTCGCCTCCGACGTGATTTTGGCCAACGTGGGCCTTCGGCCCACGTTGGATTCAGGCCGAAAGGATTCAGGCCAACGTGGGCCGAAGGCCCACGTTGGCCTGAATCCTTTCGGGGGGCCTCCTGAAAACCCCAAGGGAGGGGCGGGCGCCCCCTCCGCCCCCCCTTGGCTACGTCCCTGCATGACTTATGACTCTCCTGATGGGTATGGTTGCTGTTGTTGGCAGGCCATAGTGATAGCCATCTGGGCACTGTTTCACAGCACTGCGCTACAGTGAGCTACGTGTAGTGGTGTATTGGACTTCCATGGAAACATCAACAGACTGATGCTCGCAATGCCAAATGTGGGACACGCCTAAGAGCTGGACTTTTTGATGACGTCTTCAGGTGACGTCATGTCGTGTGTGACGTTTCGTGAGCAGGTAAGGAAAAGTCACCACCGCTGGCGAACATTGGTGCGGTAAATGGCAAACACAAATGCTGCGCAGAAAAGACAAATGTGTAACTTCACAACATTCGTTCGGACGACAAATGTTGATAGATTCGGCCATCCGGGTTCGATTCCCGGGCAATGCACGTGGCATTGCCGCTACCTGACCGCTTGGAACAGCGTGAGAGTTCCGGTTAGCACCTTGGTCCACTGGATGTGGTGCTTAACCCAAACCAACCAACCAACCGACAAATGTTGATGTCAAGGCGAATCAAGAAGTTCTTCATGCGATTGTTAGTTATCTGTCGTGCTATTTTAGTATGATTGTTATTAGCAGTTGTTTTGTGAAATGTATTATCAAAATCAATGTTTATTGAACGCAGATTCAGTTTATTTTCAGATGTACCTAGGTACCCTTACACTTCACTCATCTCAAGCTGTTCAAACACCCTTGACAAAGTCGATTAAGATGAAATGTTGGGTATAATTTATACTGTGTTTTCTCTGCATTATTAACATATTCATCATATATACAATATAAGGGCCACATGCTTTTTACAGGGAGACATGTCAGACAGCCCAGTAGGATGAGGCTTCGTCAAGCGTCATTTTTAGCAACGCTTTTCTTGCTTAAAATCCAGTCTGCAAAACATGGCAGGGCTTACACTTTGGCTTACACTTGACTCCCAGCTGTTGTGTCTTTGCTATGCGATGTTAAACATATAAAACATCTTACTATTCATGTATGCGCCATGACTCATGTAATCTTTTCACAGCCAAGACGCTCCTAAGGTACTGGGAATGTGGGGAGTGCAGCAGCATCAGTGCAGCACCGATGGTCGGATGCGACGGCTGCGATAAATGGTACCACTTCCGTTGTGCGGGACTGACTAAGGAGCCAGGTAAGCGCAAATGTTTTCTGTCTCAGTATTTTTGTTGCAGCTATAGTGATCAATGAAATATTTTCCGCATTGTTCAGCCAAACATGTATTTCAAACAATCTGCTTCCCAACCGAGGGCGTCGCCACAGGGGGGGGGGGGACGGAGGGGATCTCGTCCCCTCCACTTTTTAAAATTTTAACATTTCGCCTATGGCGTTGCATGGAAAGAATCGACTTGAAATGGTCCTCGTCCCCTCCAAAATGGTCAATGTCC